AAAAAAAAAAAAAAAAAAAAGAATAATTTTCTCAGAGCCCTATTGTCACCTGGGTTAATTTAGATTATTATAACATCTGCCTATTTAGAAATTGTGATACATTCTTTCCATTTAAACAAGTTTCTTGCTTCTTAATACAATTTTGTTACTTCCTTCACTAAATACCTTAAATGTTTTATTTAATTTACTTTTTAAAATTTGTTATTGCTGGTTAGGTAGAAACTGATTTAAAAAAAAAAATCTTATGTTGAATCCGAACATCTTTCTGAACTCTTGCTGCTTTCTAATGTTTTTTCAGAGCATTTTGTAGCAATTACAGTTAGCTTAAATTACTTTTACAATTTGTTAGAAGTCACCATTAGAAAAAAATAATTTGGCTGGGTGCAGTAGTGTGCACCTATAATTCCAGCACCTAGGAGGCTGAGGCAGAAGGATTTCTGTGAGTTCAAGGCCAGCCTAGGCTACACAGTGAGTTCAGCTACATCCTGAGCTACATAGGGAGAGCCATCTCAAAGAAAGTACTAAAAGTAATTTGATAACTATCAAGAAAACAGATATATCAAGTTGTAGTTTTTAGCTGCTTCTTACAAAATATGTGATCTGGACTCAATCGCACATACAACTTACCCCAAATGATGAAACCCCAAAGAAATAAGAGTTTTGCTGACTTTAGTCAGCTACTAAATAAGAAAGCTATATATAGCATATTATAACCAATTACACCAAGAGATGAGAGATCAAAGGTAAACACAAGGAACGTTGCAAGAGAAAAACAGAAAAAGTAACACCATAGAAATTTTAGGGAGAAAACTCTTCCCGTAAGCACCCTAACACTACCACCTATATCAGAGTACGAGGTGATGAAACAGAAACTGCCTTTTCTGGGGAATTGAGAAAAAGAGTGTTTCAGTGTTTCCACAAGCATACTTACGCATCATAATCTTGAATAACCAGCCCCACAGACCAGATGGCAGTCAGATACTCATTAACACCGTTGGGGCTGATGTAATGAAGGGAATCCGGAGACCTGGGGTCACCATTGGAGCCTGTGAAATCCACTCCCACCTGCCAAATAACAATGGCAGCCCTTACTAAAGAGAAGGCATGGCCACTTGTGCTTGAGGTCTAAGAAAACTTTAGCAGATGAGATACAAACATTCACTCCAGAGCCTGCTACTGCTATTTCATAACAAATGCTACGAGTACCTCCACAGCCTACTGAAAAGTTAAAGCCTCAAAATGGAATGAACTGCTCTTCTTGTTCTTCTTCTGCCTTTAGTCATGAATCATTATACTCATGGCTCAGACATACAGGTTATTCTTCAGCCATTTGTTGGGTTAGTGATTTCTATTCCTTAAATTACTGCAAGATAACTACTGGTTAGTGCACATCTGCCTTCTCTCAGGAGGGACAGATCTCTCATCAACAAAGACAAAACGGCCATAGTGAACCTAGATAACTGGTCTGAAGTCTCAGAGGAGCTCACAATCATAACAAAGTCAGTTTATAAATAGTTCAAAACAGAGGGAAAAGAGCAACAATTTACAGCGTTATGTTGGAAAATTCAGTGACTTACAGTAAAATTCAGCTGACATCCTCCCATGATGTAGTCAAGGAATGTGCACTCCACTGTAATCTAAAAACAAACAATATACTGTTAAAGAGTGCTCTTGAATGTTTTTAAGAGCTTGTAATCTGAACAGCACATAATATAAATATGTAGAAATCATACCTATGTTTTATTTAAGACACTCCTGACCTTGTCACATATCTGTAAGATTTTACGTAGGATAATTATAGTCATGTTAAGATTAGAACATTAATGGCCAAAGACAAAATATATTCACTTTATGTTTTACAAGATTAGGCATGAGTCTAAACTTTTGACTTTTTCCCGCAATGCATAACATCTCATTTTGAAATTATACCCAGGAGAGATGCACAGGGCCAGGCTTTTTCCAACAATAGGCTGGAAAAATATCACGAATCTCTCCTTTCCTAAGACAATGGAAAAACTTTAACAGCCCTCCACCTTTGTTAAAAAGAAGTCACCGTGGAAAGAAAGTTACTTGAAAAATTTTAAATTTCTCACTTTTTTTCTAGGCCCTAAAGGTGAGCCAACGCTCATGAAATTTTTAGTTTCCTAAAATCTTGTTTGATATGAACCATGACAGAACTTGAAATGTGACATTACATTGTAAGTGTCCCATGTCAACTGACCTCACAGTGTTTCACACTGATAACACCTGAATTCTTATAGCTTTTTTTCTTTTGTTTCTTTTTTTCATTTATGCATTCATATTCAATCTGTAGAAGAAGACAAAATACTAATTTTTAGTACAAATACCAGAAATGTCCATGAACAATCTTTTCTCCTTGGAATCAACCCATTTACTGATAGAGATCTGTTGCAAAATGCACCTCTGAAACAATCAAATAATTCCTTAAGTATGTGAAATATATATTGGTTAAATTTCCAACAATCGAGGCACTCCTAAAATTGATAGCTTTCAAAACAGTTTAATTTTGCCACTATAAGTAATTCTTGAAATGATCCAAATAATAACCTTTCTTCCTTATAATAAAAGCAGTAAAATATTACTCCTAGCTATTAGCATCACAAAGAACAAAAATATACTATTTAGAAATAAAGGAAACACTTAACATCATATAACAAATATTTGAAGCCCAACCCCATAGTAAAATAAACAGCAGACTATCTCTTTCCACTGGGAATATGTTTAAAGGAGGAGTAAAATTTCTACTGTACTTTTTTGTTGTTGTTCTTGCTATTTTGGGTTTTTTGAGACAGGGTCTTGCTGTGAAGTTCAGGCTGGTCTTGAACTCATTATGTACCCCAGGCTGGCCTCAAACTCACTATGATCATCCTGCCAAGCGCTTGGATTACAGGTGTGTACCACCACATCCGCTGAGACTGCTTAACTTTCAAACATTTGACTTTCATCATTTCTCATTGGTTCTGCCTTTTAATTCTTTGCTGGAGCCAAGCATGTTGGCCCACATCTATAATCCCAGCACTCTAGGAGGCTGAGGCAGAAGGCTAAGGCCAAGTGTACTTAACAAAACTTATGCCATTAGACAGTAGCTCAGTATTACAATATTTGAGGTACTATGAACTAAGCTTTCACCCTTGCCCAGGTAAGAAGTCGAAGAGAAGAGTCAAAGGGCAGATTATAAAAGCTCATGGCCAAGTAGCATAAAGGGACACAATTCAATCCCAGGTGCTTCTCCAGCATTGTAGATATTAATTATTGTGACCAGTGAAATGGTCAAACCATTCAATCAAACCAGAAGTGCCATCTTAAGCCAAAAAAAAAAAAAAAAATCAAATTTCTGCATACAAACTTGGTGAGAAAGGCAGTCCTGTGCACACAGTCTTTTAACATCCACTTAACCACAGAAGGATGGACCTTGATCCTGATCCTAGCATGCTTCCTTAACAAGGGAGAAGAGTCTATCCTAAGATTATCACATATGTGCAAACACTCCGTCCAGTTTCAGACTCAATGAGTACTCCATTGTTGTTCTGCATCGGAGCCCCAATCTCAGCCTTTAGTATTTCAGACTCAGCAGAAGACTGGTGGGACCCTACCACTGAAGCACAAGATGAGTGCACGTCAGCCAACTGCCTTTATGCTGCCAGAAAGGACCTGCTGGCTACAGGGTACAGGCACCTACTTCTGATGCTGATCTTACTCGGCCTGCTCTATGTCAGTAAAGCAATGTTCCATCAGCTGCTGGACTGAATTGTTTTTCTCGCCAAGATAGTGCGCAAAAGCATGTAGTGACTGATACGGTAGTGACGCTTGCTTTCCTCCATGTAGTTGGAGTCTGCACCTGACACTGGGAACCATCACATGGTGCTCTGCTCAACAAAACTAAGATCCCAAATGTGAACTGTGGATTGCCTGATTACTAAACAAAACCCACAGATTTTAGAGCATTATGGGTAAAAAGGTAGTAAACTCTTTGCCATGCCAAAGGAAAAAACAAATAAATACAGCTAAACTAAGTGGTACACACAAGTGCAAAGATATAACTTACAGGTGAGTTTCTGGAAGCTTCTTTCAGTTTTGTCATGGTAGTTTGAAATGTTCCAATGAGATCATGTGACCCATCATTGTCATAGTCATAACACTCGACCTGGAATTAAATATAACACAAATAAATAAAAATCAATATAATTTTATTAAAACATACTAGTTGCAATAAATGACCTATCAAAGAGTAACTTTTAAATTAAAGTAAGTAAAATGTTTATTATGCAGTCCTTACCTGGCAAAGTGAGAACTCCCAAGAAAAGCAAGAAACACTTTCAAACCCCAGCTATCATTGGATAGGGGCTCTTTAACAGAGCACAGCAGATGATAAAATACAAATGCTGTTTAAATTCCACATTAAGTAGTTTTCAGCTCATCTATCATAACTCCTATAAGTGCTGATCAAAGGTAAAATGGAATTACACCTTCTTTCTCTCCTACTTCTTTACCTTGCTATCACTGCACAGTGACTAAAACCCATTATCTGGAGAAAGAAAGAAAGTCAATATCTCAGGCAGTTAAAATGGATATACTGAAGTCCTAGATAATTTAGAATTATGGAAAGTGTTTTTCATAGGCTGCAACTGGGTGAGGCTAGGCTTGTATGGAGAATTAGCTACACTGAGGTCAGATTTTTATCATTCTGAGGATCACAGATCTTACCAAAAAAAGGAAAATAATTTAGTCCACTGAGCAAGTATCTATAACAGAACCCATAGACTCCCCATTCCCACATAAGACAGGATGAGTCTCAGATTGGCTCTTGTTCAGTGTGCTCTCTCTCTCTCTCTCTCTCACTCTCTGAAAGCAGAGAAAAGAAAGGTGAGAATATCTGATTTACAGACAGTTTTGTGTCATGTTGACAGATATAACTATAAAGTAAATAGTATTTCTCCAGGGGGAAAAAATAAAGTGATATGAACTATTAACAAGCAGAGGTGTTCAAGGGAGCTGAAAACTGACCATAATGACAAATATTCAATACCAATGTTTTGACAGTATTTCATAATTTCAAAACAGATTATTTCATTTCTGTGAACCTTTATTATGTGCTCCATTCACAGCCTCTAAATATTTTTGTAAGGTAGATATATTTGAAATCCTGTTACTATTATTATTCTCATTTTGCAGAACTGAGGCTTGGAGGAATTAAATAAAAACATCTTAGAAGAACGTATGCCTTGTGTGGTAATAACACAGGTAAAGTAAGGCTATGTATGGTAAGGATATTTGAAAGCTTCTATTGCCTGTGCTTCAAAGCAAAAGCTTGTCACTGAGAAGCAACTTGCATTTGCCCTAAGCCAAGAGAGCTCTATCTCACTACTACTCTTCACAAGTTATTTTAATCATCAAGCTAAAATACTCTGGATTTTTGTTTACTTGACAAAGTGACTGTTTTTATTCTCAGTTCTAGATATTGAATTCTTATCATAACAGGAAGTCCTTCATTCCTTAGTTATATTCTCATTGTTCTTCAGAAACACTAAAAATCAGTCAGTCAAAATAAGCAAGTTCTAGAATTGCAATTGTGCACAGCAGTAAAGGATTTTGTTTAAAGAAAAGCTTTGTAAGCACTTTGGTCACTAAGTCTGACAGTTTGACTCTTGCCCTACATATTCAAAATCGAATTGTAAAATCAAAATTGATTTATCCAACTCTTTAACTTGTCAATGGAAAAGAAATTAGTAGCTCTAATGATTTTTTTAAAGGAAGTAAATTTCAATGAAATAGAAAATTATCTTAATATTTTAATAAGATCAATTTTTAGCAGACATTTTCCAATTATGCAATATAGAACCTAACATTTTAGATTTCCATTCAGTAGTGCCAGTTTATATCTAAGCAAGATTAAGCTTTAATAAGGTCAAGATTTTACTTAAACAAACCATATTTAAGGACTAAAACTGTGGCCATGTTTATTTAGACTGAAACTTCAAGAAATATTTTTTAAATTTTTAATTAAGTGTTTTAAATACTCACTACAATAAATGGATGGAAAGAGCTCCCTTTTGCCCCCTGGAAGGCCGACATAACTATTTTTGTGCACCAGATACTGGGGATTGAACCCAGGGCCTCTTGCAGGCTAGGCAAGCACACTACCAGTGAGCTATACCCTTAGCCTCCTTTCTCTCTCTCTCTCTCTCTCTCTCTCTCTCTCTCTCTCTCTCTTTCTGACACAGGATCTCACTCAATTGCCCAGGGCTGAACTCAAGCTAGCAATCCTTCTGTTTCAGCCTCCAAAGTTGCTGGTATTACAGTTGTGCACTACTGCCCCCAGCTGAGGCAAATTGAATTATGTCATTTAATTCTTCTCAAGAATTCAGGAAGAAAAGGTCTAAAGGTGTAGGGGAAATGGGAAGGGTAGGGGAAAGGGAATAAAGGAAAAGGAAAAAAAAAAAGAGAAAATGAAAAAATGGAAATAAAGTCTTTGTAAATAGGGTATGGAGGAGGGGGGTGAAGGGAGGGCAGGGATAAAGGGAAAAAATGAGAACCAAGACCTGTCATGTAAAGGTACAAGAACCCAATGATAAATGTAACTGTACTGTATACCTACAATGTACCAATAAAATCAATGAGAAAAAAAAAAATTCATACACCAGTACTATTGGCGCTTTAAACAACAGCATCAACAGACCTGAAGAAATTTAAATGCATGCATATAAACATATATAATATATACATACGTTTATATGCAAAAGAAACGCAGATCACACAAAAGTACATTCACTATGGCATTCCCATTTTAGGCAAAAAAGCAGCATGCATGATTATCCCTTTAATTCATTCAATCTTATGGAAGTAATACATGCTAGAGTGATATATAGCACATTACAGCAAGGAAACTACTGAAGAGTCTAACTCTATTCTCTGCTCTATAATTCTTTACTCTGCTTCTAAGTAATTTCCAGACAGTAAGTGCATCATAAATGTATGACAATCTGATATTGCAAAGAAATATAGGGCTAGAAAAATAAAGTGATGATATGGAAAACTTAGAAACTTTTAAGAATGGAAGACATTTATGAAAGAAGCTCAGAAAAATCAGTTTACTTACTACAATAAAATAGTTCTGTAAGCATGCCACTGTGAGCAAAAAAGTTTTAGAAACATTGTTTTGACATTAATATATTATTACAAACTGTTAGTCATGGTCTACATATTTTTTTCTCCAACTTACCTGCCTTCTCAGATCTAAAGAGGTTTATAATTTTTAATGTGAGAAGTTAAAGTTCTGGATTTCATCTAACAATAAAAAGTAATTTTTATACCTGCTTTTCTACTATTTATATTGTACCTAGATTTTTAGTGCTGTCCGACGTACCATACATATCATATTTAACATTGTTTTTTGAAGTTCCCTACAAACTGGAAATTATTTCTAATGTACCTCAGATAATAAACAGTTTTCAATATGAATGCCATCTCTACTATGTTTTACATTTTATAAAATTTACACTTTCTTTATTTTACCTTCACTTTCTTGAAAGGTAGAAATTATACCCTCTGCAATATAAGTGAAGAAGTTAGTTGACCTGCCAGAGTCCCTTACCTGATTAAGGAGCTAAGTCAAAATTTAAACTGTGTCTGACTCCATGTCTTACACTATTTTACAGTGTTACCTTTCTTGTTTTCACTATTTTAACTGCAGAAAAGAAAAAGAAAACAGAAAAAACCAGTAACAAAAAAATCTTTGTCTGTTGACCTCTGAAAGGCTTCTATCTACAATCAGATAAAAAGACTCCAGATAAAAAGTCATGCATGTGTATGCATGCGTGTGTGCCTCTGTGTGTATGCATGTGCGTATGTGCGTGCGTGCGTGTGTGTGTATTGGTTTTGGTTAAACACTTAAGCATAAAACTATTTTTTATTTTAGGTACTAGGGATCAATCTCAGGACCTTGTGCTTGCAAGGCAGGCACAGTGTCACTGAGCTACATTCCCATAAAACTATTTTTTAAAAAGCCTCTGAGACATCTAGTTTTCTCTGTTCCCGTTCCACTTCCCTGACATTCTGAAACTACAGCTAATTAAAGTCTTCAATGAATTTTTATAATTTGTTTTCTGAAAATAAGAGACAGCAATGCTATTATTACTTTCGCCTCTTCCCCAATGCTAGAAGAAATTTTAGATTCCTCAGGTTTATGTATATGTTTTTATCTGGAAAAGATATGCTGAAAGCAAAAAGTATAGTTAATATTTCCTATTGACAAAGCAAAGGAATCTTATAAAAGAAAAACATAAACTTTACATTTCTGGAATACAAAATAGAAAATACACTAATGAAACATTAGGTCAACGTATCACTCAAACACAACCACTTCTTCAAACAGACGATTTTACTAAATAAGAAAACATTTCTTAATATTCTCATACACACAGTACTGAAGTATATAGTTATATTATTTACTTGTAAAAATACTGTCCTATTAATTGTATAAAATAGATGAATGTGTCTGTATTTATGCACATTATATACAGATAATACCTGTTTTATGACAATTTTGCTTACAATTTTCTGACTTTGGAATGGTACAAAGGCATAATGCATTCAGTGGAATCCAAACTTTTAGTTTTAAATTACGATCATTTCCTAGACTAGAGATATGCAGTAAGACTCTCTCAAAATCCTGGGCAAAGACAGAAAACAGCAGCTCCCAGTCAATCACACCAAAGTAAACAACTGATATAACATAGTGCACAGCGTTACTAGCTATGATGTTAGGAAGGTTAGGCACATTAAATACATTTTTAACTTACAGTCTTTTTTCTTGCTGGAGATTAATCTCAAGGCTTTACACATACAAGCATGCATTCTACTATGAGCTACACCCCAGACTAACTTAGAATATTTTCAAATTAAATTGAGTTTATCATGATGTAACCCTATTTTCAGTCAAGGAGCATCAGCATAAAATTTCAAATTACCTTAATGGTTTTGTCCATATCTCCATAGCACAGGGAGTTAAGAGAGATTTTAAAAGGCCTCCAAACAGGATTCAAGTTGTTTTTAATAACCTATAAAGTTGAAAATTCAAGGATCCATTAGAACAACATTTAGTTCATTAGCATTTTTCTAACATTTTGAACATTTTTCTTACCGTTCTAAGGCTGTTGGTCAAATAAGAACATACCCTATTTTAAGAAAGAGTATGGGAGACTGAAATATTGATTATGCCCAAAGCAGGCTATAAGCAGTACAAGCTATAAAGAATTAACCCCACAACTGGCTTGTTTATAAAAGTGAGTCCAGCAAAAGCCTACATGCTGAGGTCAGAGTAACTCACACCCAAATTCCATTCCCACAATTAAAACTTTAACTAAAAGGACAATGTTCTAATTACAACCATGTATTCTGTCTATCCTGTTCCTAATTCGAGAATTCTTCATCTTTTTCCTTTACAAAACTTGTTTTCATTAGTTTCCACAGTAACCACACAGTCCCATCCTCTCACAGAGTTCACCTTTACCCTAACTGATGACCGATAAAAACCAGTGGTTTGGACAGACCAGAGCCTTTTGCTAAAGTAGCATTGGCTATTCTGGCTCCCGGCTTTCTGTTTCTCTTAGTTCTGTCTTTTAGTTTAGTTTTGTTTTTTCTCCCCCTCTGGCTTGTGTGAAGTCTGGAGCCTACTACAGAGGTTTTGGGTTTCAGGGGTCTCCAGTAAAGAGAATGCTTAAAGACTAAAGGGGTCAAGTTAAAGAACTCTGGATCCATTTTTGAAGGCACTCTCCTTGGTCATAACTGGATTTATATGAACAGCAAAAATAATGGCATTAATGAATTAAAACAACTTATGAGTTTATAATGATATTAAAACAAAAAGTGAAGAGATGAAAGAGGAATGCCTGCTAATGTAAGTAAAAAGGATAAAAATTCAGAAAATCACTTTTTCACAGTCCTTGATATGACTGATTCAAGTATAGATGATCAATAAAAGTGAAAACCATCCAATAAAAAGAATAGGTAATTAATGCAGTCTCAAAACATCACACCACAAATAACATTAATTAGGCAAAAAATGGGACGTATTGTGGCAAGAGCTCATGGGTACCACGTAACCAAGTAGCCAGGCCCGGCATCATTAATACTGACATGAGAGCCCCCAGCAATGCAAAGGAAGGAGCACACAGAGTACTCCTGACAGATTTGTTTCATCTGGATCTTTTGGGGAGGACGAAGAAGAATCTACATGTTGGACATTCTGGTTTTAATTATTTGAGAAATTCAATGACAGGAAAATCTAGAGACAGAGAACATGAACACAAGTGTGCACCGGTCTGACCAGCTGTTGAACCTAGATGGGGGAACACAGGAACACATTTAGCATTCACTATATAAATAAAAATAATTAGGCATCGCAGTAATCCTCATTAAAAGATTAAAAAGTAAACATGGAATATAGTGACTTTGTATCTCTGTCTATAAATCTAAACTCAAATTAATATTTTTATCAATGTGACTTTTAAAAATTCATGTTACTATATTTCCAAAGAAAACTTTACTTTTTGATTCAGATATTTACCTCTGTTCGATGAACCATGAGCCAGTTTCCGTCAGATGTCTGCTTATGAAACTCCAGATATGGGTCTGACTTTCCAAAGAGATCCTACATTTAAAACAAACAGGTTTTTTTGTTGTTGTTGTTGGTTGTTTTTTGAGGGTTTTTGGTGGGGCTGATGATTGAACTCATGGCTCCCCATATACTAGGCCAGTGCTGTACCACAGTAGCCCCAGCCTTAACACACAAACATACAAACAGCATTCATTTTCCTCAGAAAACATGTGTGGCCACATTTTATAAAAGCTAATAACCATCTGAGTCAAAATCCATAGTACAGATATACTGGTTGCAAATACAAAACCCATCAACTTTCTCACTAACATACACTAGAAAGAACCAGGAGGCATTTGTGAAAGATATTCATAACAGTCAAAATATTGATATTTTAAAAATATACTGATCAAACAAACCATAAAATGTATTTTTGGCTCATTTTTGGCATTAAAATTTTCATTCACAGAGCACTAAGTAGTCTTATATAAATGATATCTCAATCACTAGCCATACTAACTCCATAAATGACAGGATAGTTTCTGTGAAAAAATGGACTCAGAAGTGTTAAATGACTTTCCCCAGCTCAGATAACCAATGAACTGATGGAGCTGGGCCTTGACTTTGTATCTTACCTTTCTATGTCCAGTAGCCTGTCATCCACACCAGACATTTATTTTATTGACATAAGGGAGCAGAAGTAGATATCCAAAGTTCAAAAGAGAATACTTCAAGAAGACAAACTACATTGTCATTAAATTTCAACCCTCAAGAAGAGTGAGCACACAAAAGTACCCTTACTTCCATTCTCAACATGCATACAGATGCAAATAAAATTCTGGAATTATGTATAAATCACTCATAACACAAGTGGAGACATAATGGTAATTTAATTTTCTCATTTTTTGTTTATATTCACTTTGAAAAATACATATTCTATTATTATTTTTTAAAATAAAAGAATACTTGTTAATTCCTCAGTAATTATCTAAATATTCCCCTGAAGCTTTTTTCATCTTGAATTAACACCTATTTATGACAATATTTTTTCCTTTCTGTGCACAAACTTCAATGTCAAGCAAATAGCATATGTGCCCCAGGCAAATACATAAACATAAAGCCTATGAATAGACAACCTATCTTTAGGAAGAATCTTAAAAGTAAATGAAATAAGCCTCGCTATGCCCCCCATTTTCCAAAACTAGTAACAGAATCATACATAGGTAAGTTAACTTTTCAAAAACACATTAATATGCTGTGTGTGACTTATCTTAAAAACAATCCTATGGGAAAGGTAGAATATGTTCATTATCATTTTGAAGGTCAGAAAATAGCCCTTGTTAGAATGTTCATTAAGTTGTCAGTATTAGCACTAAAACAAGAGCTAACAATTCCTGACTTAAACCTCCAGGATACAGTAAGTGGAAAAAACAAGGTGGAAGAAGCATTTGTCTGGTACATTTAACCATGGATTAGTGGTGAGGAATAAATACAAACTCTACACGCATGTACGCATATAAATATTCACATGTGTGTATGCAGATGTACATGTATGGGTGTACATACAAAAAATCCTTAGATTTTTATGACACTAGAGGATTAAGTCATAAAATATATATTTTTAAAAATTACCTAAAGAAAGGAAACAGAAAACAGGGTAGGGCAGGTAAGAAGAGAAGCCAAATTTCCCGGGTATAATGTCTATAAAATTAGCTTTGGCGCCATGTAAATCTTTAAATGATTTTAAATCAAACAGATTTGTAAAAAGCAATCCCTAAGCTAGGTATGGCAGCACAGACTTGTGATCTCAGCACTCCCAGAGTCTGAGGCAGGAAGGTTACAAGTCAAGCCCACTTTGGGCCACTCAGCAACTTAGTAAGACCGTGTTTCAAAATAAGAAATGGAAAAATTACTGGAGAGATAGGGCAGTGGGACGGCCTTGGTTCAATTCCACCAAAGAGGAAGAAAAAACGCAATTCCTAGTTATCAGATGCAAAATGGAATTACATGTCACTGTGACAGAATAACCACACAGATATGGATTATTTCTTTAAAACACAAGAATTTGACTATATAATCCAAGTATAATATACATGCCTTAGAGACTAGGAGAACTTCAAAGAGAGCTCAAGGTGTTCTCAGTAAAAATATTATTGACTATAATATGGATATTTTGATTCTGAAATTATTAGATGTAACACAAAACAGATGTTTAAATTTTGTGAAAGACAAAACAGTTAACCATGTTGATAGATTCTGAAACCAAGATTTTTAGCATAAAAGCAGCACAAATATAAAAAATAACTGGAATCCCTGATCCCTGTAATTCTATATTTGTTTTGGAAATATATGTGTATATTCTTTATTTGGGTCTTCTTTGATTTAAAAAAAAAAAAAAGTCTGTCCATGTACCTGTGCAGTGAAAAGCCCTAGAACCATGAGTGACAGTAACCAGTAAACCACGGCGTGCTCCTAGCGCCAGACTGTGGCCTCCAAACACCAATCCCACTGAAATGAGGAAAGATTCTTTTAAATCTGCCAGTCTGGGTCAAAACTCAAGTAAAATAAATCTGAAACATATTGTCATGACACCAAACAAGAAAATTAAAGACTCCTGGGGTTGTACAAAATGGTCTCACAAACAAATTTAAAGGGCACTGACAGGGCCCAGGTGTAGGACACACCTGTACAGGTGGGGCATACCTATAATCCCAGCTGCTCAGGAAGCTGGGGCAAGAGAAAATAGCAAGTTCAAGGCCATCCTGGGCAATTTAGTGAGACCTTGCCTCAAAATTCATTTTAAAAACTGGGAAAGAAAGAGTGGCCAAGGCTGCAGCTCAATGCTCTCTGGGTTCAAGCTCCAGTTAAAAATAAAAAAGAGGCACCCTCGGGCCAAGATTGGAATAATGTGGACATCAATAAGGATTTGCCTATTACTAATTAAAGTTCAAATGAATGAGGCTATAACACATTTAAGAAAGACCAAGATGAACAAAAACCTTATTAGCATATTGAGAAGATGATAGAGAACCAACTTACTCTGAAAAATTGTAAATATGGGGGTTAAAAAATAAACACTTTAATTTGCCTTTCTTGTATGTATCATGCCTTAAATACCTAATGGGGTAAAATTTCTCGCCATAGAAGAATTCTTGCTAAGAAATAAAGAAGCAATGATAAAGTAAAAATACTATTCTTCCAGGTCTGCAATAAAATATACCCAGGTAGTTTTAATCAGGGGCTAAAAGGAGAAAAAGAGGAAAGAAGTGAAGAATGAAGGAAGAGAGGGAAGGAGGGAAAAAGGAGGAGAAGGAAGAGGGAAGAGAAGAAGAAAAGAAGTAAAAAGGAGGCAGAAATTTATAGATTAAAAAGATTTAAGAGGGCCAGGGATTTAGCTCAGTGGTTCCACCTCCTGCCTCACAAGCACAAGGACCTGAGTTCGATCCCCAGTGCCAGGAAAAAAAAAATATTTGAGAGACGTTTTAAAATTGTATTTTTAAAAACGTCTTTAGAGATACACCACAATATTCATGTGTGAAATATGGTGTCTGGGAAAAAAGAGAGCAGACAGGGACAGAGCTGAAACAAAACTAACCAGAGTTAAAACAGCAGAACATGGGTGATGGAGACATGGAACATTTTTTTCCAATATTTTATTTATTTTTTTTATTTTTAGTAAACACCATTTGTTTATTTTTTTAGTTTATTGGTCCATTGTAGGTATACAGAACAGTTACACTCATTATTGGGATCTTGTGCCTTTAAATGACAGGTCTTGGTTCTCATTTTTTCCCCTTTTTCCTGCCCTCCCTTCACCCTCTCCTCCCCTCACCATTTACAAACATTTTATTTCCATTTTTGCATTTTCTCATATTTTTCTTTTCCCTTATTACCTTTCCCCTACCCTTCCCACTTTCCCTACACCTTTAGCCCTTTTCTTCCTATTTCACATTGTCAATTATTTCATTAGGATCTTAGATACTATTATAGTTTTTCACAACAGAGAAACTATTCAGCATTTACACATGTGACCTTTTTATTTCACTTAATATATCCTCAAAATGTATCCATTTTCCTATGAATGAATCTTAATTTCTCATTCTTTGTGGCTGAGTAGTATTCCATTTTATAGAAAGAAATACATCTTCTTTATCCATTTTCCAACTGATGGGCAAATGGGCTGTTTCCAAGTTTTAGCTATTACAAACTGTGCCACTATAAACATATAAGTGCACATATATCACCGTGATATGATTCTTTTAATTCTTTTGGAAAGATACCCAGCAGAGGTATGGCTGGGTCAAATGGAACCTCTAATCCCAGCTCTCTGAGGTATCTCCATATTGATTTCCATAGTGGTTGCACCAGTCTGCCCTCCCACCAACAATGGAGAAGAATTCCTTTCCCTCGACAATCCCGCCAACATTTGTTGTTTGATTTCTTGATAGCAGTCATTCTTTGTGGGGTGAGGTGACATCTCAGTGTTGTTTTCATCTGCATCTCTCAAATGACCAGTGATGTGGAACATTTTTTCATATATTTACTTGCTGCTTTTAATTCTTTGTCTGAGAAATGTCTGTTCATTTCATATACCCATTTTTGAATCCAGTCTTTATATTGGGGGAGCTGATTGTTTTGAGTTCTTTATACATTCCAGATAAGAGTCCTTTGTCTGAGAAGCAGCTGGCAAAAATTTTTTCCCACATTGTAGGTTGTCTTTTAGTTCTGTTGATGGTTTCTTTTGCAGTGCAGAAGCTTTTTAATAAGATGAGATCCCTGTTATACTTTCTGCTAGTTCCCATGCTACTGAGGATTTGTTCATAAAGTCTTTTCCTATGCCAATGTCTTCAAGAGTTCTGCCTAACTTATCTTCCAGCAAGTTTAGTGTTTCTGTTTTAATATTTATATCTTTAATCCACTTGGATTTTAGTTTAGTGCATGGTGAAAGATAAGGATCTAGTTTTAATCTTTGGCAGGTTGAGATCCAGTTTTTCCAACACCACTTTAATTTTAAGAGACTATCTTGCCTCCAGTGAGGATGGTCGGCTCCTTTGTCAAAGATGAGGTAGCTGAATACATCTGAAGTTGTTTTTGTATCTTCCAGTCTGTTCCACTGATGCTGTTTGTCAGTACCATGCTGTTTTTATCACAGTGGTTTTGTAGTATAGTTTCAAATTGGGAATTGTTATACCCCTGCCATGTGTCTGTTGCCTAGGATGGCTTTTACTATCTGGGTCTCTTCTGATTTCAAATGAAATTTTGGATTCTTTTTTCTAGTTCTGTGAACTATAGTGTTGGAATTTCAATTGGCATTGCATTGAATCTGTATAGCAGTTTTGGTAGTATGGCCATTTTCACTATGTTGATTCTTCCTACCCAGGAGCAGGAGATATCTTTCCATTTTCTTATATCCTCTTCCATCTCTTTCTTCAGAGTGCTGTAGTTTTCAGTGTAGAGATCTTTTGCTTCTTTCCTTAGATTGATTCCTAGATACTTCATTTTTTTGGATGCTATTGTGAAATGAATTTCCCTAATTTCTCTCTCAGCGAGTCTGTTATTTGTGCACAAGAAGGCTATCAATTTTTGAGTGTTGATCTTGTATCCAGCCACTCTGGTAAAAGTGTCAGTTAAGTCTAGAAGTCCTTTGGTGAAATTTTTTGGGTCTTCAATGTAGAGTATCATATCATCAGCAAATAATGACAGTTTAACTTCTTCCTTTCCTATCTTTATTGATTTAATTTCTTTCTCTTGTCTAATTGCTATGGCTAATGTTTCCAGAACTATATTGAAGAGGAGTGGTGATAGTGGGCATCCTTGTCTTGTTCCTGATTTTAACATGTTTTCAGTTTTTGGCCATTTAATATGATGTTGGCTGATGGTTTTTCATAGATAGCCTTTATTAAGTTAAGATATAGACCATTTATTCCAATTTTTTGCAGGGTTTTTATCATGAATGGGTGAATTTTGTCAAATGCTTTTTATGCATCTATTGAGAGGATCATATGGTTTTTGTCCTTGACTCTGTTTAAATAATGTATTACATTTATTGATTTACGTGTGTTGAACCATCCTTGTATCCCTGGAATAAATCTGTCTTGGTCAGGATGTATGATCTTCTTAATAATCCTCTGTATTCTGTTTGCTAGTATCTTATTAGGGATTTTTGCATTTATAATCATTAAGGACATTGGCCTGTAGTTCTCTTTTTCAGTTGGGTCTTTCCCTGGTTTGGGAATCAAAGTGATACTTGCTTCCAGGAATGAATTTGGAAGTATTGCTTCCCTTTCAATTTCATTGAAAAGTTTAAAAAGAGTAGTAGCAGTAGTTCTTCTCTATATGTCTTGTAAAATTCAGCAGTGAATCCGTTAGGACCTGGGCTTTTCTTTGTTAGTAAACTTTTAAGTACATTTTCAATTTCACTGATTGTAATTGGGGAATTTAAAATGTTTTTATCTTCTTCTTTCAACATTGGTAATTCATAAATATCTAGAAATCTGTCCATTTCTTCTGTGTTTTCCATTTTATTACAGAATAGATTCTCAAAGTAGGTACTGACTATCCTCTGGATTTCTGTTGGATTTGTTGTGACTTCATCTTTTTCATTCCTAACTGCATGGATCTGAGCCTTTTCTTTCCTTTTTTTGATAAGGTTAGCTAAGGGTTTACCAACTTTATTTATTCTTTCAAAAAACCAACTCTTTCACTAATTTATTTTTTGTATCATTTTTTTAGTTTCCACTGCATCGATTTCTGCTCTAATCTTTATAATTTCCTCTCTTGTATGAGCTTTGGGTTTTTCTGGCTCTTGCTTTTCTAGGAGTCTAAGATTCATTATTAGCTTATTTGAGCTCGCTCTGTTTTCCTAGTGTGGGCATTCAATGTTATGAATTTTCCACATAGAACTGCTTTCATTGTGTCCCATAGATTCCTGTATGCTGTATTGGTATTATCATTTATTTGTAAAAAATGTCTAATTTCTTCTTTAATTTCCTCTATGACCCACTGATTGTTCAGGAGAGTGTTGTTCAATTTCCTTGTGTTTGTGTAGTTCCTACTGTTTCTTATGCTATTGATCTCCAGCTGGACTGCACTATAATCTGATAATATACAGGGGATAACTTTGATTCCTTTGCATTTATTCAGACCTGTTCTGTGAGCTAGTATGTGGTCTATCTTGGAGAATGACCCATGTGCAGCCAAAAAGAATGTATATTCTGATTTTTGGAGGTGGAACACTCTATATACATCTATTAAGTCCATATGTTCAAAAGCTTGCTTCAGTTCTAGTATTTCGTTGTTGATTTTCTTCCGAGATGATCTGTCTATTTGTGATAGTGCGGTATTTAGATCCCCCACTACAGTTGTTTTAGTGCTTATTTGGTTTTTCATGTTACTTAATATTTGTTTTATATAGTTGGGAGCATTAATATTTGGTGCATATATGTTTATGATTGTCGTCTCTTCCTCTTGAACTGTTCCATTTACAAGGATGTAGTGTTCTTCTTTGTCTCTCTTAATCAGCTTTGGTGTGAAATTTACTTTGTCTGCGAATAAGATCGCTACCCCTGTTTTTTTCTGGGCTGACATGGAACATTTTTAAAAATACTATTCTGTTTTTGTTTATGTGTAATTTTTTCCAATAAAATAAGTTCCCAGACCAGTCTGTTTTCAAGCAAAACTGTAATGTAAATGTAAACAATAAAAAATAGTGGACCTCTCCATTAACCAGTTATGTCTTACTAATAAAATTATAATACAATTTTTTTAAATAGTGGCTAGATTATAGAATGAAACACAAAATTCACTGAAAGAGTTACTACAACCCATGTTATTTATTAAACTGTTGTGTTCCTATGTACTAGTACTCATCCTGCATGAAAAATATAATCTGAACCTTTGAATGCAAAGAGGACAACTGACTTGTCACTACTGAAGCATGGAGTTTTACTTCTTTCCTGAAGGTGACCTTACTACTCTCTTTCCTGATTAAGAGAAACACTGATGCTTGTATTCAACTTTTCCTCTAATCTGTATGAATTCTTTGACCACATCTACATGCAAGAGGTGAAGGGAATGGTACATAGTTAAAGAGAGGAAGGGAAAGAGGAAGAATTTAGAAGCAAACAAAGCACTGCATGATTCTCAGATGAAGTTCATGTTAGTTTCATTATTATTCTCTCAAAAAAGTGCCAATGTGAGTAAAAAATGTGACAACATCCTTGTTGAAATCTGTATAATCCACTTACCTTATTATCGAGTTTTCTAGCTTCCATTTCAAACAAGACAACTCTATTATCCTTTATTTCTTCTGCTGAAATCTATGAGTAGTTAAGGAAAATGAAAACCAGTATGTTTTAGGAATTCTGATATATTCACAAACTATTTTTTAATCTAATACTGTATAAACTCTATACTTATATAATGGAATTCTAAAATGTTTAGTAAGAAAATGGTACCATTAAGAAAGATTTATCACTTGATCCCTTTCCTATTTGAGAAAGATATCTCTCTCTATTATCTATCTTGTATTTTGTTCTTTCTTTACAATTTAGGTTTCTCATATAAGAGAAACTATGTGATATTTAAGCTTGTGTGTCTGATTGATTTCACTTAATATTATTGTCTCAAGGTGCCTGCATCAACACCACAAAAGGAATGTAAACATTATGTACTACAAATATGTACTAATAGAAAAGGAAGGAAAAAGAAAAGAGAAGAAAAGAAATTCATCCTGAAATAAGAAATATCCAGTTTCATAAGTATTGTACTATAGAAGTTTTCATTAGAATAATATTTTGTTTGGGTGTGAAAACATTCTACAAACTGCTGAATAATCTCAGCGAATACTTATGAGAAATTTTACATAAACTACAACTGAGATTTTAAAAAATATGCTGTTGTTTTGGCAAACTTGGTCTAATTTTTAAAAATTTTTATCACTTTTAATTTATGCTTAATCATAATTATTTTAATTACTGAAGAAAGCTCATTAATAACAGTTAACCAATCAGAGGCAAACATAGTGAAATGGGAAATTTCCTTCCTTTTTTCTTAATCCTATTCCCCAGAAGTAAACACCCAGAATCAGTGGCTCTCTGTCTGGAGTGTGTGTGTAAGAGGAGGGAAAGGAGGAGGAAGAGGAAAGAAGGGAGGGGAGAAGGAGGGGAGAGTGATTTTGAGTGTGTGTCTGTGTGCTTGTTTGAGTGTGCATGCACACACAATGAACACATAATACAAGTAATATCAAATTAAAAAACAGAAAGAGACCATGCCACAATAATGTTCTGTAATATGTATCATGGCTTCTTTTACATTTAATACAATGTGTCCTTAATTTCTGTGCGAATATATTGAATTCTGCCTCCAGGGGCAGTATGATCTTTCAGTTTGAATGTAATCATTCTAATCCTTCTACCACTATTACTTGTGGCAATTTGTTGTTGTGTACATACTTCAGTGAATATTCTTGTGTGTGTATTTTGCACACTTGGCTAGCATTTCTGTAGGACAACTACCTACACTGCAATTACTGAGCCATTTGTGTATGCATATACTTTTATATTTGTGCTCTTGGATATCACTAATAAATTGCTCTCTCAGATGCTTCTGCTCAACCTATTTAACCTTAGCCATTCAACACTAGTTTCAATGATTGTAAAAAGCTTTGCTAATCCAGTATGTGAGAAATAGAATTTTATTACACATTCCGAGGTTAATAAGCTAGAACTTCTTTTCCTAGACACTTTGGCTATTTATATTCTCAAAAGTTCTCTTCATAGCTTTTTAAATTATTTATAATATGCTTATTGGCTCTAATAAACCTATTTTTCCTCCACAATATAAGTTAGAACTATTTTTTCATTTTGTCTTTTTCACTGTGTATACTAATTCTTAAGAAAGATTCATCATTACTTCTTTTATGTGAATGAGTATTTTCCCAAAAGATATCAAATCTGCATTATGCAATTTCCTTTTTAAATACTGCTACTCAAACTGAATCTTTCCTCTTGCCTAGGAAACTCCAAGGCCTGGAAGACTGAAGAATGCACTCTGAACAAAACTAGCTAATGCTCTCATACACTGAGTAGCTGGGATAAATCATACCTAGAGAGCTCTATAAAATGAAATATCAGGTCAGTGGTTTTCATTCTATGTAGCTGAATTAGTCTGCCTGAAAACAACTTACAGGTTATTATGACCTAAAGCAAGTAAGCTAACTACTGATAATATTCTCTAGCCCATAAAAGTCAACTTTCCCCATAGTGAAATATTATTATTCCTTTAGGAATCTAACCTAGAATCAAATAGCTGCTAAAATAATGTCTTTGATAATTGCAATAACTCAAATATGGCTCTCTCAAGAATCCAGGATTCCATTCTCAGAGATTGCTACAGTTAGAATTGCTCTAAGGAGTAGATGGAGTAGCTACATGAATAGAAACTTTCAAAGATAAAGTATTCAAAGTGTGTTGTTACATAATTGGTAATCTAAAATATGATAAAGTGCATGTTCATTTGCTCAGGGTCAGTAATCAGCAATGGAAAATCTGGGTAGGAGAATGGATAGCAGAACACAAGAATGGAAAACAATGATAAAGACTATAGATTCAACGGTAATGTTATAATATAATATCCATTTGGAGTAAAATCCATTATGGAAAGTTACTGTCATGTTGAGGAGACTGTTTCCTTTGTAGCCAGCTGAAATGATCATTTCAGATTACGAACCAGGTTCTAAATTGAAAATAGATATTTTCATGCAAGAGCGGCAAGTATCACTCAGGTGCACCTGATCTCCATGGACAACTTAAAAAACTGAAATAAAAGATTCCCATTCTATATTTTTCTCCTTGTTTAGCACAACACACTTTCCACTGTTGAACACTGTAGAACAAAGGTGGATAGAAGGCAACATTCAAGATCAAATGATAAAGAATAGTGTAAATTATCTGATGTGTGCACTTTCAGCGCATCCAATTATGCTAAATCTTTTGAGGCAAAGACAAATATTCTTACCGTAATATTCCCTTTCCCAGCAGGTTTGCCATTTTTAAGCACCAGTGGTCGAGTTAGCTTCTTACTGGAAACAATCTGTTAAAATTGGAAAGTAACACAAAAAAATATTTCACTTCAACATGTAAATAAATAGTTTCCCCCAAAAATGAGTACAAAGTTCACTCAAAGTCATTAGAAACAAAACCAGTAGGTCTATTTCTTAAAGATTTCGATAACATAAAACTGAAAATATACCCACACGTTTAAAACTAACTGGAAAACACTTCCAAAAATCCTACTCTTGAACATACACCCTAACCACTGGTTTCTTTACTAATTACTGTACTTCAAAGTTTAACTTCTCTCTTGTAATGGAAAAAGAGATCCAGATTCTCATACACAAAGTGAGAGCCACAATCCCTGTAGGTAAATGATGGCATCAGAAGACTCACTAAATGAGATTCGGTATTCCAAATGACACACAACTTGATATTTTTCTTTCATAAAATATCATGTTTTTCAAAGTAATACAGTATATCTTGATACTCTCAAACTGATATATCTCTCAAATTTATTAGAATTTTAGCTACATTATACTGTTTTTCTAAAAACTCCTTCAATTTTCTCTTTAATACCAGTTGTGAAAGTTTTACAAAACTGATCAATTCCATATCGTCCTTTGAGACACAGAAAACACCATGCTCTTCAACAAGCTGAAACTGAACTGAAAAATAAACTAATAAAGACAAATTCGAATGATCAATGTCACTCCTTAAAAAAAAAAATGACTCTCTTCCCTTCTGATGCCTTTCTCAATTTATGCAAATGGCCATGATCCCTCCTGATAAACTAGGAGCAAAATCTGAAGTAGGTGCAAAACCATGAGCCACCAGACACACCCGTCACTGGACTAAGCTTATCATTTACTTAGGAGACATATAACATGGCAACTACAATAAAAATGATGAGATGTGGTAGACCGTGCCAAATTGAATTCAAAGAATGGCTCCAAACTAGCCTGGGGGTCAGAGAAGTTTTATGGGAGAAGTGAGGTTTAAAGGGACACAGCTAAGGTAGGGGGAGAGCAGGCCAGGTAACAGGGTGTTGTAAGGGGACTGGGGTACCAGTCATGGTAGTTAGAACATCAGAGACCTCACTGTTACTTCAATAGGACTGATGACAAACGTAATAAAATCATACTGAACTCTACTAGAACAGAGGTATTGAGAGGCCAAATTAAGCACCCCTAACTCAAAAGAATGAACAGGCTTTGCAGAGACACATATCCTTGTCTTTAGAAAAACAGGATAACTTTTACAATGTTCAAGCCACCCATACCAATATATAAACACAGTCTTTAAAGTGATTAATGCTTTACAACTTTCAAAATTAAACAAAAGAACACTTATCAAAAATACCAATTCTGTGGTTTAACTTTAGACAAAATAGAATATAATAGTTCCTTATACTCACTTGTCCCAGGGTGCATTCACATTCTCCTAAGAAGTCATCATCACTCAGCTCAATAGTCTTGTTGTCAATGTCATAAATTCCAAATTTTAACTTTTGAACCACTTCAAAGTAGTAATCAATAATAAATGTCTTGGCAAACTTGGGATTCAAACAATTCTTAATCCTTTCAGTGCGTTCAATCTATATCCATACCCAAAAACAAATTAAAAACAAAAAGTTCCTTCAAATAAAAGATGCATTGGACTTTAACTTTATGTAATAAATATAATTAAATGTGGCATGAAAACTAAAGGAAGTTTCTGTATGTATATGAAGAATTCCATAGCCAAAGACAAACTTATTCAAAATAAATGCATTAATAGAAGAGACAGTGTTATTATTTTCAACATTTTAAATAAACTCTTCACTTTGTCAAAAGAGCAAATCAGACCTCTTTTCACCTAAAGTATATAATATTACCTCATACCACTGTTGACCACTTGTGTTCAAAAATAACACACACAGAGGGTCCGACTTTGATGTTGCATCGAGATCCAAAAGATTGTTACAGGAAATATTCAGCTCCACCTTTGTGACACATTGTGCAGCCATCTCCTGAGCTGTTAGAAAAACCAATGAGACCAGAAAAGAAATGAAAGGGTGGTGATTAAGGCCCACACTCCTTCCTAATGAAAACTGCTCAACTTTTAAGATATTGCTGGAAAAGGCTCACAAAGTAAATGTGCTACCATGAGACAGGTTTGGGGTTTCTATTAGCTCCTCACAGTGATACTGATTTATTACTCTGCTGAGATAAAGTTAATTCATTATACAGTAGTAAAATATAGCTTTTGCGATGTCAACTAATACATACTACTCTTTTCACCTTATTAGATATTTTACTGTTCAGGAAAAAAAAAATCTAATATTGATATTCACTTAAACATTTGCAGAAAGCAGATTACAACTTTTATTTTACTTTTATTTGTTTATTTAACAAGACACTGGGTGGGGTATTCTCTGTTTTCAAATAATTCTGGCTAAGATTCAAACTTGGGGAAGAAATGACCCATATAGTCTCATTCTTCCATGCCAGTTCCCTGCTCTGCAGAAATGATCCTCAGTCTGGGTTACTTTGTTGGAAGAGCCTGTGGGAACTTTCAAAAGTACTGATGCCACAGTCCCACCCAAAGAAATTTAATTCAGCTGGCTTAGGATGCAACTCAGGCACCAACTCCTTAGATGATTCTAATGTGAGGCTGAAGACGACAAACCTAACGTTCTACAAGCAGCGTCCAACAAATTGGTATGGCCCACCTTCTCCCATGTCTTGCTAAGAAACACCAGAGTTAATCTAACAATCACAGACCCCTCTCCTTCCCAATCTCTAATCAATATATGAAAAAGGCCCAGGAATAAGGCAGAGCCCATGATGGAGGCCAACCTTGAGAAAGGATATAATATTTAAAGTGAGCTGCTTTCTTCCCCACACTCAGGGAACAAAAGAGACTGCAAGTGTCACCAGGCATGCATTCCCCAGCTGGAAGTAGGAATTCATGGTGGTAGAATGGTACCTACTCCCCTAGCACTGCTAGTAAACATCCTAGAATGTGAGTTATTCAATACTCTTTACCCTCCACTTTGAGATTTATCTGAAATTCCAGGGTAACAGGAATAAAATCTATTGATGTAAATATGTTACATGTAAATATGGCAGTAGCAGTTCTGTGCTATATAAAATGCCCAAGCAAGTATGAAAAAATAAAAATTGACATTAAAAGAATCCTTTGACACTTAAAAAAAACACTCATGTCTTAGTGAAAACTCTATGGATTCCAAATCTCAATGTATGTTAAAAACCAATACAGGAAGAGTAAAAAAGGGAAAAGAAAAAAGTGTGAGAGAATGAAAAGATGAAAATAAAGCGTTTGTAGATGGGGAGGGGAGGAGGGAGTGAAGGGAGGGCAGAGGTAAGGGGAAAAAATGAGAATCAAGACTTGTCATTGTAGAGGTACAAGATCCCAACAATGAATGTAACTGTACTGTATCCCTAAAATGTACCAATAAACTCAATTAAAGCTGAAAAAAAAAATCAATACAGTACCAGCAGTTTGGGTTTCTAAATTATAGTTGGAGTGGTGTTACATACTTCTAAATCCAGCTACTCAGGAAGGTGAGGCAGGACTATAGATCCCAGACCAGTCTGGGCAACTCAGTAAGACTTTCTCGCAAAAGTTTTTTTGAAGGAAGAGAGGGCTTGGGATGTAGCTCAGTGGTAGAGTTCTTTCCTAGCATCCCTGGGGCCATAGGTTTGACATCCAGCACCACAAGGGGAAGAAAGGGTTAAGCTGTAAAATACAAAGGTGCTGGGGGCACTGTGCTATAGATCACTATGGGTCAGGCCTAATTTGCCTCTTTTCTACAGATGAGGCAAGAGACGCCTGTGGAACCAGGAACATGCATCTTGTTCACTTCCTCCTTCAGATGAGGTAGGGCCCCTGAGGAAGGAGAACAAGGGACTAGAGGGTGCGACAGAACAAGGCCTGACCAAGAAGAGGACTATCTTCTTTGCGGCCCATTTGCCAGAGAAACATCAAACATTATCTCCTGCAGACCCTAGCTGCTCTCTGCTTTAATCAGCCAACCCCTTTTGTACAAAAGATATTCAAGGCAAGAAGAAGGCAATGAAGCAGTCAGAGGAGAATTAACAGTGTGGGGGAGACTTTCATAGCCTAGGCTCTGAAGGACTCAATTTGAGCAGGGGAAGTGGGAGACAGCCCAGAGACCGGAAAGATGGTGACACTAGAAGGCACAGTGAGGACATCTCATTACATGTCACAAAGGTGAGTTACGTAGAGGACACGCATGCTCAGGGAGCAAGTTTAGAGTATCCTGAGAGCCAGCCTTAAGAAGTAGGTGAACGGGTACAAGGTTCTACTGCAAGATTATAAACTGGAGGCGATGGAACAAAATGGGTTATGTAAAATGCCACTTGTCAAATCTTTTCTAATTCTATAATCTCTTACGTGTCATAATGCTGTAGCATCATTCCAAAAAGATCTTTTTCAAGACATAAACAAATACAGAATTCAATACCAAGATTAGCAGTCCTCATGCCATACAATTCAGAAGATTAGTGTTTTCTTTCCAGAAGTATACACGCTGTAGAGAACATCTATATTAACAGTGTTAATATAATAATGACTCCTTTTTATCTTGATTTATTATTAAAACAGGGGCCAGGGATTTAGTTCAGTGGTTCTGCCACCTGCCTCGCAAGCACAAGGTCCTAAGTTCAATCCCTAGTACCAAAAAAAAAAAAACAGAAAACTAAAGCATAAAAGTACTAAAAACATAACAAAAAGCAAGAATTAAGGAAGCAGAGAAACCACAACCACAAAGAAGCCTAGTTTGAAAATAACCACATCCATGAATCTCTGACACAATGACACTGAGCCCTCATCTGTAATCTTTTTGTCCTTATTCTCTTATTCTCCATCTTTTACTTGTTCTTCTCTTTTCCTCCTCTAATTCTAGAAGCTGAGAGCATCACTTAAGGCTGTTAACTTGTGGTCCTGGTCCTCAGTTATCTCTCCTTTGACCTTATTCCTCTCAAGTTTTCCAGCATCTCGTTGGCCTACAGAATAGTATCCCCAAATCTACCTCCATCACCCCCACCTCTACACACAATTTTAGCTTTTCCCTTCTTTACACCTATTCATCCCTGGAGTATCCCTCTCCCTCATTTGCTCCTTCCTATTCAGTTCCCCACTCACAGGCTCTAGAATGAGACCGTCTGAGTTTTCATGTTGCTTCCTACTCCTACTTTTCCCATCTACTGAAGAAAAATGACTGCCCCATCTCAAAGAGTTGTTGTGAAAACTGAATTAGTTAATATATTTAAATGGTGTCTAAAAACATGGAAATTGGGCCAGGAAGGTAGCTCAGTGGTTCCACCTCCTGCCTCGCTAGTGCAAGGGCCAGAGTTGGATCCCTGGTACCAAAAAAAAAAAAAGAACATGGAAATTATTATTACTGTTATTTCGGTGCTACCTGGCTCCAGGCATTAATCCTCTCTTACCTAGCCCTTGTTTCACATTTTTTATTATAACATTTCATGATGATTTTCCTGGTTATTCCAATCCATCATGCTGCTTCTTCAAATTCTTGCTGCATTCACTAGTAGAGAACAAGATCAAATATGGAATAATGTATATCTGAGCTGAATCCTGCATCTGGCACGAGCTGTGAAACCACATCTATGTGATTTCAGCTACCTGAACTGAGGTTTCCTCATCAGGAAAATTGGAGATATTACAAGTAAATTTTTCAATCTAGCATTTGCCAACCATCTTGTTTTTCCTTCCAAATATAGAGTCTGTGGAATAAACGACAGTTGTAGCATTTTATTCTTTTGTATAAGGTATTTTAGAGTCTTGTAAGTAACATATCAGTAGTAGACACAGAATAAGCATAGAGTGTTAAAAACTCCCTCAAGAGCTGGGAGTGGTGGTGCATGCCTGTAATCCCAGCACTCAGAAGGCTGAGGCAGGAGGATTGCTGTGAGTTCAAGACCAGCCTGAGCTACATAGTGAGTTGCAGGTCAGTCTCAACTACACAGTGAGACCCTGCCCCCACCAAAAAAAATAAACAAATAAATAAATAAAAATTCCCCCAGAACCACAGGGAGAGAATTTTGCACTACCCACCTAAAAATCTTTACATTTCTAAAGGATAGGGAGAACTCAACAGAGAAAGTAGATATTTACATGCAAAATCAGTCTCACATTAAAGAGGGACAACATATCAGCAGAGCATCATTTCTTTCCCTAAAAATGCTTAACAAAAGCTACAAAAATAGCATGCCAGGCACAGCAGATTGTTCAGCAAACTGCTGACAGCTATGTCACTGCACTGTTGCCGGGAAGCAAATCCCCTCTGCTCGCAGCAGTCCCCTGCAAGTGACTGACTGTAGCCTACCTTTCACCGAGAAGCTGATTCCAGCTGAATGGCAGATGCGAGAAATCACATACACAGTCAGATCTGGAATCTTAATGGCAATGTCCATAGAGATGCTCCTTCCTTTCTAGCAATTACTCAGTTCATAAAACACAATGTTAAAAGAGCAAGAGGGGGTGAATCAGTGGAAGAATACTTGCCTATTTTAGGCAAGGCACTGGGCTCAATCCCCTGCACTGCAAATAACAATGACAGTAACAATAATGAAAGAGCAGTAAGATACCTCATCTATAAATTAAGAGAAAATAAATGCTGTACACCCTTGAGTATGATTTGCCTGTGATAAAGAACAGGCAAAAGAATATGTGAGCAACTAAAGAATAAGCCTATGTATTTCACTCCCCAAAGATAGGAGAGTAGAGGGAAAAACAGACGTAGTCACTAGGATTACACAACAGCTTCCCTACTATACTGGAAAACTATTTGGTTCAACCCACTCTCCTGAAAAGGGAATAACCCTTAGAGAAATAACCATATCAAGCATTCTCCCAGACACCCTTTCTCAATCAACATTAACAACACTGATTTTAAAAATTGAAAAAGTAAGACCTAATAAAGTGCAGTCTGATATGTAAAATTAAAGCACACAGTCACATGCCCT